TTTGGGGAGGTTTTTAATTACCATTTCAATTTCGCTGCTTGTAATTGGTCTGTTTAGGTGTTCTATTTCTTCTTTATCTAGCTTTGGGTGATTGTAGAGTTGTAGGAATTTGTCCATCTCCTCTAGATTGTTGAACTTGTTTCCATATAACTGTTCATAGTAGTTACTGATTATTCTTTTGATTTCTGCTGTGTCCGTTGTGATTTCTCCTCTTTCATTTATGATCCTGTGTATTTGTGCTTTCTCCCTTTTTTCCTTTGTGAGCCTGGCTAGGGGTTTGTCTATTTTATTGATTTTTTCAAAGAACCAGCTCTTGGTTTCATTGATCTTTTGGATTGTTTTTTTAGTTTCAATTTCATTTATTTCTGCTTTCGTTTTTATTATTTCTTTTCTTCTACTGGTTTTGGGGTTTTTTTGTTGTTCTTTTTCTAGATCTTTGAGCTTCGAGATTAGGTTGTTTCTTTGAGTTCTTTCTTGTTTCTTGATGTGAGCTTCTATTGCTATATATTTTCCTCTTATTACTGCTTTTGCTGCATCCCATACATTTAGGATATTGGTGTCCTCCTTGTCATTCAATTCAAAGAATTTTTTAATTTCTTCTTTGATCTCCTCGTTAGTCCAGTGGTCTTCCAGTAGTGTGGCTTTTAATCTCCATGAGGTAAGATAGTTCCTTGCCTTCTTTTTATGATTTATTTCTAGTTTGATGCCTTCGTGGTCAGAAAAGATGGTTGGTATGATTTCAATCTTGGTGTATCTGTTGATGTTTGTCTTGTGCCCCAGTATGTGATCGATCCTGGAGAATGATCCGTGTGCACTTGAGAAAAATGTGTACTCCGTTTTTTGGGGGTTTAGTGTTCTATAGATGTCTGTTAAGCCCAAATGCTCTAGGTCCTTATTTAGAGCTTTAGTTTCTTTACTTATTTTTTGTCTTGTTGATCTATCCATTGTTGATAGTGGTGTGTTGAAGTCTCCCACTACGTATGTGTTTTCTCTGATGTCTGTTTTCAGACAGGACAACAGTTGTCTGATATATTTTGGTGCTCCTTCGTTTGGTGAGTATATGTTAATGAGTGTTATTTCTTCTTGCAGTATTGTCCCCTTAATCATAATGTAGTGACCATTGGGGTCTCTTTTTATTTTTTTGAGTTTGAAGTCTGTTTTATCTGATATAAGTATAGCTGTTCCTGCTTTCTTTTTTGGCCCATTTGCTTGTAGGATTGTTTTCCATCCTTTGACTTTGAGCCTATTTTTATCTTTTGTAGCTAAATGTGTTTCCTGGAGATAGCAAAAGGTTGGGTTTTGTTTCTTAATCCAGGCTGCAACTCTGTGTCTTTTTATTGAAGAGTTTAGTCCATTTACATTTAGAGTTAATATTGCTATGTTAGCATCTGTATTTGCCATTATGTTTGTCTTTCCTTTGATTTTATTTATTTATTCTTTTAATAACTTTTTTTTTTTTTTTTTTTTTGGTCTTCTTTCGTTGTTATTCGTTCCTCTGAGGTTCTGGCTTTAGGATTCCTTGTAGTATTATTTGGAGTGGGGGTTTAGTCGCAATGAAATTCCGGAGTTTCTCTTTGTCTGGGAAGGTCCATATTCTTTCTTCATGGAGGAAAGAGAGCTTTGCGGGATAGAGTATTCTTGGTTGGCATCTGTTTTCTTGGAGTCTGTTGACTATGTCCCTCCACTCTCTCCTTGCCCGTGGTGTTTCTTCAGAGAAGTCTGATGTCAGCCTGATTGGTTTTCCTTTGAATGTTATCTGTTTCTTCCCTCTTGTCAGCTTCATTATTTTTTCCTTGTCCTGGATTCTTGGGAGCTTTACTATTATGTGTCTTGCTGTGTTTTTCCTTTTGTCGTGGAAGTTTGGTGTTCTTCTTGCTTCTTGTATATCAATTTTCAGCTCCTTCTTCGCATTTGGGAAGTTCTCTTCAATTATATCCATGAATATTTTCTCTGTTCCTACATCTCTCTCCTCTCCTTCTGGAATTCCTATAACTCTTATATTTCCTTTCCTCATGGAGTCAGATAGTTCCCGAAGTCTTTCTTCGTTCTTTTTCCTTCGTACTTCTCTTTCCTTTTCTGTTTTGGTTCTTTTTATTTCTGTGTCTTCAAGATTACTTATTCGTTCTTCCATTTCATCTATTCTGCTTTCATTGCTTTTCCCAGAGTTCTTTAGTTCCTCCATTAATTCTTTGATCTCCTGCATTTCTCTTACTTCCCTCTTTAGGGACTCAATTTCCTTCTTCTGATCTATCACTTTTTTAATCATGGCAATTTTAAATTCTCTTTCTGGAAGGCTCAGAAGTTCTTCCAAGTTGCTGTCGTTGCAATCTGGGGAGTGGTTTTCTTTTTGTGGTGTGCTTCTTTCCTGAGGAGTTGTTAGGTTGCATGTGGTTCTTCTACTCCCTACTGTCTGTTTTCTAATTTGTCGTATGCGTTGGGACACTGTGTTGCTCGGACTGACTGACATCTTGGGTGAACTTCTCCGCTCCCCTCTGGCTCTTCCAGGAGCCATCTCTGTCTTCTGGGGGAGCTTTCTGCTGGTTTTAGGCAGTTTTTACTGAAGAAATGTCCCTGTTCTCAAATGACGAAGCGGGATGCAGTCCCTGCGCCTCCGGTTTCAGGCACACTCTTTTGCGCACCCGGTCTGCCCCGGACGTGAGTGCCTGCTCCCTCTGTGGGCTCAGACTGCTGGTCGGAAGGGGCCTGGCGTGGGGTAGGCTAACTTCGCGGCTGGCCCCTGGGTCCTCCAGAAGCCTTCTGCCCTTTTCAAGCAGTCTTAAGAAATTTCCTGTTTTATGGGGTGTTAGTGACTTTTTTTTTCCTGGTCGCTAGGTGGCGCCAGAGATCTCTCCTATTGTCCTTGGGGGGCTGTTTTTCGCCTCCCCCCACCCCGTGGGACAGGGAACAGAGCGGGAATGGTAGGGTACACCTCAACAGCTTTGGGGTGCTGTGTCTGCCTTGTGCCCCACCGTCGTGGAGAACCCACACCCCGAATTTTCGTGCCCCGGGTCTCAGTTCAAAGCCCTCAGTTCCAGGACGCGGGCTGTAGCCCAGTTCAGTGGCGCGGGAATGGCGCCTTTTGCACCGCTCCCGTGCCTGGGCGCCTGGTTCCTGCTTACTCAGGGAGGGACCTTCACCTCAGTGAGGACCTCCGCGCGTCTCCCCGCAAGCCTAGGTCGTCTCCCCGCAAGCCTAGGTCGCAGGCACGGGGACCTGGGCAGCCGCGATCCAGGTCTGCACTTGCTTTTCAAGCGTGCGCCGAGTGCGCCGCTTTCCGCGCAAGCTTACCAGCAGCCCGGGCTGTGTGCGCGTCTCCCGGGGTCTTTGTGCTTCTCTAATGGCGCCCGGAGCCGTTTGCTCACCGCCGCGGCGGATCCTGCAGGGTTCGCCTCAGCTCCCGTTCACGGGGTGTGGTGGCTGCAATAGTTCCTTTCCACTCACAGTCCTGCTTGCTGCCTCGTTTGTTTTTGTTGGCCGTTTTGGTTTGTTGTTTTCCTCCTCTCTGCCGGTCGGAGAGTGCCGCCTCTGTGGGCGGGGGAGGGGAGCAGGGTTCTGCGCTTTCCTCCCTTCTAGTCCTCTTTTATGGCCAGTTTCTTCTTGGGGTAGTTTGCTGGCGTCACCCGTTTATCTTCACCCGTTTATCTTCCGTGTCCCGGTTCTCACTGGGACCTGCCGCTTTTTTCTGCAGTATTTCTGTGTTAACTGAAAATTAATCTCAGATATGTCAATGCTTTGGTAGTTTCTGAGAACTCTTCTTGTTTTTTCTTTCTGTAATTTACAGGCATTTGAATTCAAATTTTTTGTTTGTTTTCTACCACTACTTGTAATCGTTCATGTCACTAAAGTAGCAGTAGTACTGGTCGTTGGCACATCAACTGTAGAGTGAAAAAAAAATTTGCTACCTGATTTTTTAATTTATTTTTGCATAGAAGGACTGGAGTGTGGGCCAGAGGTGGGTGGTGGTGAGAGGATTCACCAGAGACAGAGTGGGGAGCAGAACAGGCAAATCTACAGAAATACACAGCTAAGGGGAGCAGTGGACGAGACAGGAGAGGTCTGCTGCGCCATGTGGGTTAGCTCCCTGGCTGGGAGGGCTTGGGATTGAGCTCTGGCCATTGTGGTGGTAGTGCTGAGACTTAACCCGTAGGCCACCAGGGAGGCCTTTTGCTACCTGATTTTATAGTATGACCTTGGGAGAGTTACCTAAAACCTCTCTACTTTTTCTTCATTTGTAAAATTGAAACTCACCTCTTAGGATTCTTGTGAATCCTAAGGATTAAATGACTTAATATATATGAAATGGTTCGAAGAGCTCTTGGCACATAGTATGCATTCAATAATTATTAGATGCGGGCCTCCCCGGTGGCGCAGCGGTTGAGCGCTGGGTTGCAAAGCTGCCCGCAGCCTCTGCAGCACCAGTTTAATCCCCGGCTGCTCCCCGGCCACGGGAGGAGGGTCCCACATGGCGGCAGACCTCTCCTGCCGCCCACTGCTCCCCTCAGCAGTGTACTTTGGTCCTTCTGCCTGCTCTGCTCCCTGCTCTGGCTCTGGTGAATTCTCTCACCCTCCTGCGCTTCTGATTGTACCCAGTGCTTGTATAAATAAATAAATCTAAAAAAAAAAAAAATTATTGGATGCTACTTATGGTTTTCTGTTACTATTTGCTGTGGAATTTTTGGCAGTTACTTAACCTCACTAAACTTTAGTTTTTTTACTCACCTATAATAAATCTAAATCATTGGTTACTGTATAGATGAATAGACATGATATTCAGAAGAACATGGACCCACTCCTCCACGTAGATGTTAACTGATGTTAGTTATTACTGCCCTCACTGGCATTAGCAACCAAAGGTGGTGCCATTGACAACGCTATAAAATTCTCAGTTCCGTTAAATTAGAACAAGCACATTAGCAGTATTTAGTTCCCACTAACAAGATAATTAAGAAAATTGCACTTTTTTTCCCTATCATTAAATCCTATGTCTTTTACTTTTTCAGACAGTGCTACAACAGGTAATTCAAGATGGTTCAAGTTATGGATTAGAAAGTGAACTTTTCTCTGGTCTTCCCCCGAAGAAGATTGTGGTTGAATTCAGGTAAGTACCTGACCACTTTGTGTTGGTTAATTGAGTTAGTGGACAGGCTAGGTGTTTCACCATTGTCATCTGGGATCTTATGAAACTATATGTGGAAAAAATTGAAAACCATTGAAATTACATTTCCTTGAAATCATTAAACCATGAATTAAAATTTTTGACTCCAATAAAAAATAGCTATTTTTTTTTTTTAATTAAGTCAGTTACTTTTTGGAGGAGCTAGTTTTTCATTTTAGTAGACTCTAAGGCAGAGATAATAGTTCTACCATTTTAAGAATTATATTATAATTTGATTACCAGAGAACAAAGCCTTGTACTATTTATAATATGTACATTTTTTACTTACCAGAAAATGACTTGAAGTTGTAATATGCTTCTAAATTGTCTTTTAATAACTTAGGATAGTCAGAAGAGTGGATTTTATGGATTTCACATTTGTGCTATCTCTGCTAGTCATTTATCTTCTTAGAAATAGCAGTCCCAAAAAAAAAAAGGCAGTCTCTCTGAGTAAACTCATTAGTTTATGATAAAGACTGCTGAGTTAGTCTCTTATCTATAAACTAAGAATAAAATGGCTTGCTTTCTTACAAGATTGAGGAAAATACTAATTTATCTATTTTTAATATTGCAAAACTTAGGAAATTTTCAAACATACACAAACGGAATAGTACAGTGTGTTTAAGTACAATAGATCCATCGCTCATACTCAATGAGTATTAAATTAGTTAATGCATATAAAGTGCATAAGACTATGCCTGTGGAATATAGTTTTCTAGAAGTATTTGCTATTGTTAAATTATTAAATTTAGTTTCTTAGGAACACACAGGAGTGGGAGTGATTAATGTATTAATTTTGGAGTGGTGAATCAATTTTCTATTTTAATTTCTGATACAGTAATTGAGAGACATTAGCTATATATATATATATATATATATATACACACACACACACACACACAAAATTTCTTTGGAGTTCTCAATTTTTAAGAAGATAAAGGATTTGAGAACTGGTACACTAAGCTTAATTCCCAATAAAGTATGCTGTTTGTGTCAAAACAATATCTCTGAATTTCTTCATGTTTTTATCATCGTTAAGTGTATCTTCCTATGTGTGCCTCATGAATCACAGAAACCGTCTCACTGAAGGTGATTCTTTATGAACTTTAACTTTGCTCTAAATTTCAAATTTTTAACTTACCTTTGCCCCAAATTGCCAAAAGCCTTTGTCCCCAATTGTGTTAAACTATGGAGGCATGACCTAATTAATTTTAGGACACTTGTTCTTAGAACAGAAAAATAACTTTTATAATTATTTGCAGTTCACCTAATATTGCCAAAAAATTTCACGTTGGACATTTGCGTTCCACTATCATAGGTAAGTGTTGTTAGTTTTGCAAAAATTACGAAACATGTCTTTGGAGCATTATGTGGTAATACATATGATAATGGTTTAATGCTTAATAACAAAGGGACAGAAACCTTTGGAATTTATATGAGCTTGATGTAATTAATATCTACATGAACTGGGGGGATTGATTTAGAAATAAATTTGTTTCAAATCCAAAAGATTAACTCAGAAACCAGTTTTAGCTTGTATGCATTTATGATTCTGTTAAAAAATATTTATGCATATGGAGAGCTGAAAGACTCGAAACTGAAAAATAACTATGTGGGAATTAGTAATCTCACCCAAATTTTGGCTCATCTCTTTTGTTCTGAAAACAAAACTCATTCATGTGAGTAACTGAGTATAGTATTCAGGACTAGAAATTCAAGCAAAGCTATTTAGTAAGGAGAAATTACTATACTACTTCATAATTTAAAAGTTGTACTTAGAATTGTATAATATTAGAATTAGAAGAGAATTTAGAGTTTGTCTTATCTGTCTTCCATTATAGAAATCTGTCTATTACATGTTTAAGAAGTCATTTAACCCTTCCTTGAATGCACTGGAGAAATCAGGGCCTCCCTGGTGGCAGAAGGGGTTAAGTCTCAGCACTATCAAACTATTGCCAGGCACCGCAGCATGAGTTCAATCCCCGGCCAGGACGGTGACCCACATGGCGCAGTAGACCTCTCCTGACTCACTTGCTGCTCCTCTCAACAGTGTATTTCAGTAGATCTGCCTGTTCTGCTCCCCACTCTGTCTCTGGTGAATCCTCTCACTCCCTGCACCTCTGGCCTATACCCCAGTTCTTGTATGCATAAGTAAAACAAATCTTTAAAAGAAAAAAAAGAACTGGAGAAATCAGCCCTTTGTGGCATAGATTATTATTGAACTTCAGTCAATGTTCATTGTTAGAAAGTTCTCACCATTTTAAGAGGAAAAAAAATGAAAGGACTGAATGAAAAGTATAAGAAATGTACTCTGTCCTTTATCATTAGTGTTGTGTGCAAAAATGTTCTCCCAGTCAATGGGGTTTCTCTTTGTTTTGGTTATTGTCTCTTTTGCTGTGCAGAAGCTCTTTAATTTGATGTAGTCCCAGCTGTTTATCTTTGCCTTCACTATCACTGCTTTTGGTGATGTGTCTGTAAAGATGTCTTTGATGTGCATGTCATGTAGTGTTTCTCCTATATTTCCTTCTATGTATTTTATGGTTTCAGGTCTTATGTCTAGTTCTTTAATCCATTTTGAGTTGGTTTTTGTGCATGGTGTGAGGTAGTAGTTGAGCTTCTTTCTTTTGCATGTAGCAACCCAGTTTTCCCAGCACCATTTATTGAACAAACTTTCTTTGCTCCAGTGCATATTCTTTGCTCCTTTGTCAAAGATTAGTTGACCATAAATCTGTGGGTTTATTTCTGGATTTTCTGTTTGATTCCATTGATCTGTGTGTCTGTTCTTGTTCCAATACCAGGCAGTTTTGATGATTATGGCTTTGTAGTATAGTTTGAAGTCTGGAAGTGTGATGCCTCCATTCCCTTCCCTTCTACATATACACAATGGAATATTACTCAGCAATCAAAAAAGATAAACACATGCATTTTGCAACAACATGGATGGAGCTAGAAGGGATCATGCTCAGCGAAATAAGTCAGAAAGAAAAAGAAAAATACCGGATGGTCTCACTCATAGCAGGAATTTAGAAAACCTAAATAAGAGACCAGGAAAAAGACTAATCAATGCAAAGTAATAATCAAAATCAACAAGCAACTGTAAACCAGAGACACACTTTTGGGGGGGTGGATTAGGGAGGGGCGGGGAGAGGAAGAATTAGAGTCAAAATAAGGGGGGTGTGCAATTGTATGGGGAATATAAACAAAATGAAAATGAATACATTGTGCAAAGATGAAAAATGATGTAAAAATTATATAAAATAAAATATTAAAAAAAAAGAAATGTACTCTGTAAGAAATACTGAATAGGTCAGAGTAAATGATGCATAAAGCAAAAATTGCTTAACAGTTGTTAAGGGAAATATTTGGACCTAGAAGAAGTAATATTTCTTGAGAAATGAGTTTTCATGTATTGTCTCAATTAGTTTCACACAACAACCTTGTTAGCTAAGTTTTGTGAACTCTTATCTATGAAAGAGAAAACTCAGGATACCAAAAGTAACTATCCCAAAGTCATTTGGTTGGATTACTAAGAAAAAGTAGGAATACATTCTGAGTAACAGCTGGAGAAGGTGGTTTCTGTTGTTGGGACTATATAAATTGTGAAAGTCTGTAAGTGAGGAAGCTGGAAAAGAAGTAGCTGCAGCAATTAGTCAGCTGTGTGTATTGATGAAGGAGTATTAGCAGAAAACTAGATCCACATTAGTAAAAGCGGAAAGGACCTATTACAGAATATTAAAATTTACAGAGTTGTTGGGAGTGCCAAAAAATATTTGGCTTAAGCAGATGTAAATGACTCCCAAGACGATGTCATAGAATTCAATTACCAAGGGAGCATCTGCCTTTTCTGCTATCACTTCTGCTGTTCTAGAACCAAGTTGCCACCACCACAGTCAGGAAACTGCCACTACTGCAGCCATACCAACTAGAATATAAACTAGCAAAACGGGCAGCCCCGTAATCTTTCAGTTTCCTTGGGCATCACAGGTCAAGATCACAAGGGCCTCTTATTAGTGAAGACATAAAACAGAAAAGCTCCACAACTTGTCAGGAAAAAAAATAGAAGTAGCTTCCCTTTTAAATCTCACACAATGTCTAAATGATTTCTAAAACCCCAAACTGCAAGAGATTGTGAGTAATGTAATTTTTAGGTTTCTTACTAATTTCTGAGATTGTTATTTTCTGTCCTTGGTGTTGAATTGGAATAACAGTTACTCTATCGTGTGTTCCCAAACTGCCTTTGATATTGATGAAAATTCTGTTCTTGTAAAAATTGTGAGATTGTTTAGGATAACTGTCCCCTGAATAATTCCTTGCTCCCTTCCCATAACATAGATGAAAACACAACAATGTTTTTAACTAAAAAAACTAAATTGGTAAATTTTGCCAAACATGTTTTCAGTGTTATGCTTTGATTATAGACAAGCACATGATTCTTTTGCCAAAATGGATAACAAGATTGAGAAACTGTATTTTATTGATTATTAGGAAATTTTATAGCGAATCTCAAAGAAGCTTTAGGACATCAAGTAACAAGAGTGAATTACCTTGGAGATTGGGGCATGCAGTTTGGTAAGTAAGTTTCAGATTCTATTTTTCATTTCATTGATAAGTTATTTTGTTACTTGATCATCTGGATAGAATATAGGCAGAATCCCATTGGATGAAGTAATGCCTCCTACTTAAATCTTGTACTTGACTAATAGAGTAATTCTCACTACATTAGTGAGTTTGGAGGGAGGAAATGTCACACAGAGCAGCCCTGATAAATGCAGGCTTTTTTTATTTTATTAAAAAGAAGTAGGAAGAGCGGGGATGGAAACAAAGTGGGAAGGAGGCCCAGTGGTCTAGGGTAAAGGACTATGAGTGTTTTCATGATGGTTGTGGTGTGATGACATCCCCTAAATCATCTACAGTGTTGTAAACCAGTCTTACCTCCATCTAGAAAATAATAGTAATAGTAAAGAAAAATAGCTCATGTTTGTTAGTTAAATATAGGTGTATACAGAGAAGAAGTAAGTCTGACTATGTATACCATTCCCACACAGTGCTGCCATTTTTATAATTGGTGAAGTCTAGCAAGTCTAACCTGCTTGGGCCATCTTTCTTAAAGTGGATTTGTTCTTACACTCTGGAACAGTAACAGAGGAGTAAATGAAGTGGTATACTTGGGCTTTCTTCTAAGATTGTACAGTGACAGGAGCCAAAAAAGGAAAGAGGAGTGAGATTCTAAACAGTTGAGTGCAACAAATGATCTCAACTGTTGTGACTTTATTGAGAATCATTTCTACCTCATACAAACCAATAATCCAAGTTTGAAAAGGCAAGACAAATGAAGTTGCTGTGATTGTGAAGAACTGGCATGTAAAATGTAAATTTTTTAGCATCTTTGGCAGCTATGTATATATTAAGATGCTGACCTAGCATCATCTGTCAGTGGACTGTGGATGCGTTGGTTGGTGGGAGTGCTTATACTTTCAAAACACCAGTAACAGGGCCTCCCCGGTGGCGCAGCGGTTGAGCGCTGGGTTGCGAAGCTGCCTGCGGCCTCTGCGGCGCCGGTTCGATCCCCGGCTGCTCCCCGGCCACCAGAGGAGGGTCCCACATGGCGCGCAGACCTCTCCTGCCGCCCGCTGCTCCCCTCAGCAGTGTACTTCGGTCCTTCTGCCTGCTCTGCTCCCCGCTCTGGCTCTGGTGAATTCTCTCACCCTCCCGCGCTTCTGACTGTACCCAGTGCATGTATAAACAAAACAAACAAACAAATAAATAAAAAAAAAAAAATGCCTCTATTTAAAAAAAAAAAAAAAAACACCAGTAACAATATAAACCAATGTTATGTAAATTTAAAAATAACAATAAATTAAAAAGTAAATTTAAATATAAAGCATTCATTGACACACAGCCACACCCTTGCCCATCACCGTGTTCTTAGCTCTCAGCTTTATTCAGATACACTGTTTTTCTCCCCTGCTAGATGATACATTCCTTGAAGAATAGGCAGTGTCTTAATTTTGTGTCAATAGTGCTTGCCATATAGGAGGTGCTCCAAAAGATGAATGAATCCATCACAGGGAGTATTTTACAATACTAACTCAAATGGAAGAATACATAATATTTTAATTCTATAAAGTGCAGCATGCACTGCTAGTTCTAAAATTTGCTAATACTGTTCTGTTCCATTTCTAGTGAAATGAAAAAAAAATTTCCAAAAGATCAATTAATCATGACCTTTGCTGAATATTATTCAAAAATCTGAAAAGAGGGTAGAATTTGAACCTGTTAAAGGTACCTTTACTATTTACTGATGAGGAATCAGAAATCATGCCATATATTTTAAAAATCCACCTGCCATTCACAGCAGCTGGGAGTCAGAGGTTTAGGCTCTTGTCTCAACAGTCAGATCTAATAGGTGGCATCCGCTTTATATTAGTTTGACCAAGTTAGGCATTTCACAGGCATTAGCAAATATGTGATTATGGTATTATTAACTCTTAGCTGCAGGATTTTATTATAGCTCTTTTCTCTAAAGGACTACTATGTTTAATGATCTGTCAACATTTCCATTATAATCGTCATTGTTGAAGAATTTTAATTTTGACTGTTTCAGCTATCCACCATTGAAAGTTGGCAAACAGTTCCAAAGCACAAAATTAGTTTTTTAAAATGTATTAGGTAGGATATCCTTTACTTTTCTCATTTATGTTTTTTAGTATTCTGTGGGCATATCTTCCCACATGCTGCTCTCAAACAGTGAATCATAATCACATTTGCTTTAGCTTGAAAGTAAATAAAGCTGGTTCATATTTGTCATTCTTCTAGTTCCTAGCTAAGTTCTGAAGTATTGTATATCTCTTTATTCAGTGACATCCCATTTTCTGCTCATTCCTGTACAGAAAAGTCTACATCAGCAAGATCTCGTGGTAGTTGCTCCTTTAGATCTGAAGCTTGTGATGATAAGGTTGTAGAAACAGATTAGTTATTTTTTTTTTTATTATTTATGCATACAAAAGGGGTGAAGGCCTGGGGTAGGGGGTGTTAGGGGATTCACCAGAGATAGAGAGGGGAGTAGAACAGGTGGATTGAAAGAAATATACTGCTGAGGGGAGCAGCAGGTGAGACAGGAGAGGTCTGCTGTGCCATGTGGGTCACCTTCCTGGCTGGGGATCAAACTCAGGCCTTAGTGGTGATAGCACTGAGACTTAACCCCTAGGGCACCAGGGAGGCCGCAGATTAATTTGTTAAATAATAAAACTATTGCTGCTCTGGGCCCCAGCCTGCATATATCTTTCAAACTGAAAATGTGATCCTCTTTTAGCAAAATGTCTAAGAGTTTAAATGTTCAGTCTGTATTAGGAATTTTCATTGTAAGCTTACAAACCTCAATTACTATATTTTTAAGTGTCAAATTAACACTATTCTCAAATTCTAAACCTATAACCAAAACCTAAAAAAAAGTTATTGACAAGCACAAGACAAATATATGGCCAGATAAAAGAATTTTGTTGCTTGGTCATCTTCAATGGGAGAAATGACCAGGGATAATTCAAGTTTTATCTTTTATTATTTTTTTTCCCTTAATTTAAGAACTGATATCACACCAAACCAGTTCCTACCATTGTTTTATTTTAACATTTATAGGTTTCAAAAGCAAGTTTTCAAGCCATTTCCCATCAGTTTGTTTTCACAAGCTTTGAGTGCCTTAGCATCATAATGTCCTTCCAATAAGTAGCAGCTCAGTAAATCCTTGTTATTAATGTGTGTTAGGGAAATGTTGGGCACTGTTAAGATAAATTAGTCCTAGACCCTTCCTTTGGTGTGCTGGTAATTTATTGGTACCTGTGAAATTAATTTCAGCAGTCAGTTTAGTATATTGAATTTGTGACTCAATATATTGAGTTTGACTTGTGTCAGTTAGTGGGGTAGCAAAAGATAACATGTTGCATTATTCCTAGCATACATAATTGTATAAAGTTAATCCTTTTATAGAACTATATTTGTTCCCTACCATGACTTTTTGCTACTTTTTGTATAACTTTTTCATTTATGGATTATTGTGGTAGGTCTTTTGGGAACCGGCTTCCAAATGTTTGGCTATGAAGAAAAACTCCAGTCCAATCCTTTACAGCATCTCTTTGAAGTAAGTTGACAGGAAATATTAGAAAATGCTTCAACTTTTTTTTTTTTCCCAGAGTACAGTGCAATTTGGTTGGCAACACATTTTTGTTTCAGAGGCTTAAGAAAGACTAGTCTTTAAAACATGGAATCAAAGCAATTGAAAATATTGGTTTTATTTTACTATGGGATTCTTTTCATTTTCAAATCCAAGTGTTTATCACCAATTTAATTCATTTGGAACAGTATTTCTCAAGGTATAAAAAAATCTTAGAATAAAAACATGGATAATAGATTCAGTACAATAATTGCTTAGTTTTTGTCACTTGATATGTATCACAGATTTCTCCACAGTATTAACTATAATTCATTTTGCCTTGAGAAAAATGAGTCTATACTTTTTTGCTTTTGTTCTGGTATAGGGAAGGCGCTTGTGTATCTGAGTTTGTGTGTACTTTTAAAAATTTTTATCTTTAGATTCTTCTCCTGACTTTTGCCCAATGTGAACCCTTTTTTATTCTGCTTCATTTGCTCCCTTAGATACTTTGCTCTTCTGTCCTCAGTCTTTCCTGGAGTTAATTAATATAAGATCTCCCTGTCCAATTAATCTCAGGGATGTATTTCCTTTTCATTGTTTCAGTTGTTGTCTCTGCTATTCCTGGCTTTACAAGAAGAAACACAGATAGCTTGTTGGCTATATTGGTCACATCCAGGGGATCAAGCTAAAGATGTTATGCCTGTGCATGGGAAAGTACTCTTGCCAAAGTAATTCTTTACTTTTATTTATTTATTTTTTTTTAAGATTATTTATGCATACAAGAACTGGGGTACAGGCCAGAGGTGTGGAGGATGAGAGGATTCACCAGAGACAGAGTAGGGAACAGAACAGGCAGAATGACCGAAATACACTGCTGTGGGGAGCAGCAGGCGAGACAGGAGAGGTCTTCTGCGTTATGTGGGTTGCTCTGTGGCTGGTGGGGATCGAACCGGCACTGCAGAGGCCATGGACAGCTTCACAGCGCTGTGTTCAACTGCCTGCGCCACCAGGGAGACCCAGTAATTCTTTACTTTCTATTCTCTATCAAAGCCAAGGACAGTGCTTCGTTTTCTACTGCAGTGGATTATAGTTAAATTTAACAAAAACACTTAAATTCTTAAAGACTTTTAAAGGTTTGTAGTTTCCTCCTGAGTCTGCCTGCACAACATCTTAAATGCCTATAATACTAATGTTTATAATATTAACCAAAAGATTTTTTCTCTTTCCCATTAACAATTTTATCAATATAGTTGAAATAGTAATAATTATTTATCGTGGTCTATAAATAAGGTATACCATTTTAGTGCTTGAAATTTTTACTGTGTTTTAAAATTTTGAATAATGGCAGGTATTTTTTTTTTTTTAACCATAAACTCAGTCAACCTTTTAATCACATCCAGGCCCACAGTGATAGCCCATGGTGCAGAAAAGACAATTATCTGCTTGTTCACCTTGTGTCACTGAGAGAACATTTTTAACAATTGAGAGTATGTGTTAGCCTATGTCACTTACTATTCTCATCTTTCTCCCACCCCACTTCAAAATTTTTTTAAGTCATATCTCTTTTTTTTTTTAAAGATTTATTTATGCACACAAGAGTTGGGGTACAGGCCAGAGACGTGGGAGGGTGAGAGGATTCACCAGAGACAGAGTGGGGAACAGAACAGGCAGATCAACCGAAGTACACTGCTGAGGGGAGCAGCAGGCGAGTCAGGAGAGGTCTATTGCGCCATGTGGGCTGCTCCCTGGCTGGCCGGGAATTGAACTTGTGCTTCAGTGGCTGTAGACAGCTTCATAGGTTGCACCAGGGAGGCCCCCACTTCAAAATATTTTAATACTGAAAATAGTAAATCTGTTGCCCATAATGTTATCAATATTTTAGTAAAATCTGTTCTCAAACTCCAGTCAAACCTAAACATGCAGTTTAATATAATTTACTTTCTTTTGAGACTCTAAAACATAGGAGAGCATATACATCTTTATTAGAGGTTGTTACTTGATAGGTACACGTAACTAGCCAGTACAGGGGGTACGATGGTGGATGGATATAGGTAAAAAAGAAATGGGGGCAGAGAGTACCTCTATGAATAAATAAAAACTCTGGGAACAGTGATGTTGCTTTCACTGTGTTCTTTTGCCTAATAGCTTCATAGGGGAGCAGCACTAATAAAGGAGAGCAAGTGAAATACACCCATCTTACTGTTTGTAATTGGAGCTAGAAATCCATTAGAGCACTCAGCAGCTCTCTTCCTTCTTCCTTTGCAGGACAGAGAAAATGCAGAGTCTAAAATGGCAACCCCCAGGTTTATTTTTATCTTTGTGCTAGTTTTTGCAGACCTACTTTTTATTTTAAAGTTACAGTTGTCACTGTAGGTTACTTTTAAGATCAACTTTTAGCATAAGTGATGAATTTCTTCCTTTATTTTTTTAGCTTTAAGCAAATATTAATAAATGATTTTTACCCCATTTTAAAAGAAAAAAAAGCAGAAGTCATACAAGCAACTTGAAATATTTAATAGTTGGAAGATGTCCTTGCATGTGTCACGCCTCTGTAGTGTCAGAAATAGCATAGGTTGGCAATATAGATAAAGCTTATCGTCTTTCTGGGTGACGAGAAATTAGGGATAATGATTTCAAGCGTGGTGTTGGTGAACCAGTAAACAATGTTGGCACTTTAGAACAATTTGCATGTGCTTTTCTTTTTGTGAAATTTTTTTCTAAGGCTGGTAGAACCCCTGTTTTTTTCCCTTGGCAAATTGTAGTTAGTTGCAAGCTCTTTTAAAGAACCTTGTCTTCCTAATTTTCTCTCACCAGCCTCAAACATATAAACATGTAAAACCTATTGCATACCTCCAGGGTAGGACTGTTGTATGATACACTAGTTACCATTTGTCAGAATCTAACTCATTTCATTATGTAGTTTATTGATGAATACCCAGGATTCCAACACAGGCCATCTGGCTGCCCTCCTTAGCTGCTCCCCCCATAAACTATAAATGCCTTTCTGAGCCATTCATTTCCACTGGTTGTAATTATTTAACATAGCATTTTCCTTTTTTTTTTATCCTTGAATTACTATACCAGGGACAAAGCTGTAGTTCGGTTTTGGCAGTTTCAACCATCTGGCTTATTTGTTTTGAAGTTGGCATAGGTCATCTGGTAGCAGATTTTCTGGTCATCCTTCTTCCTCCAACTTGAATTATGATCAGTATCACCCCTTTTCAGTTTCTCAGCCAGGTTAGAACTTATAGCATTTCTATGAGGAAAATATATTTTTTTACCTGTAATGATTTTTTTTTGCCAGAACATGTGGCTTTGTTGTACATGAACTTAAAGTCATTTGTTCGCCAGCAACTTAAACCTTTCAGTGTTCTAATTTGTTGTCACAAAATGGGGAAGTGGTTTTGTGCCGCGGACTAACGCAGCGGTAGACTAGCAGGACTGTCTCAGGATTGAGGAACTGTGAGGATGCTTAAGGAATCGGCGCATAAATGACAGACAGACACACTTCAAGAGTGAAGATCTGAATGTAATGTGCTCAAAATCATCATAGACTTTTATACCTTTTCTAACAATAGATGATTTCATACAATTTAATTTTTTCTCAGCATAAGACATCTACTTTGTTATTCATGTTCATGTGATCGATGTTCCATGGCATGGCACAGCAAACAATCTCAAAGTACTGAATCTACACAATCAGTTTTGTTTACACAGAACAGTATTCTTTAAGCTAGTTTTTCTTGATTCGTATCCCAAAACCACAATGATCAAAAACATTGATATTTACCTACTGGCACCTTTTACTTTTAGTGATCACGAGCAATATATTCTCTACGTAAACATTTTAATTTTTATGGTATTGTCTCATGTAAAAAGTATTGTAATTATTATAAAACTACTATTGCCCCACACTATTTATTTATCATATATTTCCTAAAACTAATTGTACACATATAGAAAAAAAAAACAAAGTAAACAAAAAAGTAATATAATTATAAACAGGTTACTAAGTTATTACTATTTCTGAAACAATGACTATCTGATTAATAATTAAACTACTTTGTAAGTAATTCCATCAGGCTTGTTTACAGGTGACACTCTTAACAGCCTTGTTTCCATCAAAAAAAAAAAATTAATTACTACGGACTTGTTGCCTAAATTAGACTTATAGACATGTAAGCCTTGTTTGATCTAAACGCCAAAGTTTATTATAATAAAGCCCCTCGGGGACTGCGCCTGTCTTAGGTCGTCAAGAGTCACAAACATAAGACTGGCCAGTGCCTTCTTTAGTCTGCCCCCGATCTTACCCGTCATTGACTGTCCAGTCCAGCACACACACAAAAAAGTCTTATTCACTCTAATGTGTCTGAATAAAAGCCTCCCTCTTTCCAGTAAATTCACTGGCGTTCAGCGGCAGAGGCTGCCGCAGTTTTGTAATAGTTACTCCCCCTTGAATTTGTTGATGAGTTAAGTAATAAATTTTCTGCTTAAAATTCACAATATTGACTTCAATGGGGGGAATGTCTTTCTACTTAAGGAAAAGTTATTTCTTTTATCTCTTATGGAAAAAGTTAACAAATAAGTGTTAAATATGAACCATGGGGTTATGGGTATCATTATTTACTCTTGTTTTAATAATTTGTAAAAGTAATTCCTTGGGGTTCCTCCTAGATTTAAACTACTTGAATGGACCTAAATAGCATCTAACACTGTTATCTTTAAGGATACATAGCCCAATATTTTTTTTTTTTTTTGCTACAGTAGCATATTACTCACTAATAATATGGATTTTAAGAACTAAAAATTCCTCTGAAATGAGTTTCTCATAAGAGATAATCATGTCATTAAAGTATGAATTATTAACCCTGTATCCTAGCACTGGCATTTCTAAAGGTAGCATGATATATTAACATTAATAGTATACATTTTTTCCTTAATTCAAAATGACCCTCACAGCTTCGTTATTTTCACCATACCCCTTTCTA